CATCATGTAAATGCCTTCTTTATCTTAGCATGCATGAAAATGGGTGGTTGAATTGACACGATGGTCCCTTGTGTATATAGACACGACAAGGAACATGACCATCCTGACGTGGTGCGGGATCATGACCAAATTCTTGAGGCTGTACAGTTTGAAGAAACGCTGGGCAAGATGACCTGGCGGGACATGTTTGTCGTATACAAACGACGTTCTTGGATTGCCATTATTGTTCAAACGTGTGTTCAGCTTCAAGGAATCAACGTAATTCCGGTGAGTAAAAGTCCTTATTTTAATATCAAGCATGCCTTAACTCCTCAGCAACCTTGCATTAGTACTATGCACCTATAATCTACCAAAAAGTACTAGGTCCAGGAAAGCTGGTATTGCTCATGAATGGGGTTACTGCAACGATCTTTGTATTTGGTGCATGGACATGTATGTTGCTGGTTGAACGATGTGGACGTCGTCCACTCTTTTTAGCAACAAGCATCAACCTTGCTATATGGCTGATTCTCATGGCACTCTTTACAAGTGGTACTGTGAGTGATACAAGGGCTTCTTCTATTATGACCATTGTTTGTTCGATGGTGTTCATGTTCACATTCGGCCTTGCTTGGGGACCCGTCGCATGGTTGTGTGAGTACTACCTTCCTATAATTCAACGTGTACTTACCAGTGGCCATGCAACCACGAATTAGATGTGGCCGAGATCTTCCCATTACGAGCTAGGGCGAAAGGTGTGGCACTCTCGGCTATATCACATTGGGTATGGTAATAGGGATAATAACCAGCACACAACATTGATGAATCTTGATACCTTTTCATCACATAGCTATGGAACTTTGCAGTGGGATTATGGACGCCACCACTCCTTGAAAGTATTGGCTGGGTTACCTACCTTCTTTATGCAGCCATGTGCATTGCCACGTTTGTCATTGGTAATGTAACCTTAAATCTTAATGAAACATCATCTTGAATGACTAATCTAATAATGGTTTACGTAGTTTATTTTACATTCGTTGAGACCAAAGGAAAAACCCTTGAGGAAATTGAAACCCTTTTTGGTGACAACAATCAACATGCTAGACAACTTATTCATTCTGACACTGGAAGCAACAATAAACCACCTTCCACCTAACATCATAATCGTGGCAGCAGCAATCTGTAGCGAGAAGCATAGGCTACGTATGCTAAAATGGTCATGGCTCTGACACAATGACCTGGTACGCCGATCATACCCTCAACAATGAAAGCTGTACCCGGTGAGTGTTATTGGAAAATGAGCACAACAAAGCATTTTAACAACCAGGGAACCAACCATGTTGTGGGAAGCTTAGATTAGGTAGCAGCTGTCATTGTTACCTCTGACAAAGCTATCCAAGCCCCTGGTATCGTAATAAAGTTGGGCCTACATGTATCCATATAAACTAACATAGCATCGTCTTTGCTCATCTTCGTAATTCATGTATTGCAGCCATTGCCACGTGCGCTACACCCTAGTGTATGTAATGATAAAGATACACGACTACTTTGATCCATGACTTGTTGATCTAATAGCATTACTACGCCAAGCATTATACGATTTACCGCTGATAAGGATAGATCACGCGCACATAGGAAGATCAACAAAACGCTGGCACTTCTCTTGATGATGCGTACTCATGCATAAGTATGCAATTGCCAGCAAATCTTAGCCATCTTGCATTCGCCACTTCTTTTCTTCACTTTTTCTTTCTTTCCAAGAGCCATGCTGTTGACTGAGCGAGGTGAAAAACAACCATCATCGCGTACATTGTTGCGTGGGAATGCGTTCTTGTATTCGGTTGCCGCCTTTGCCGCGTTAGGGCAATTCTTGTTTGGATGTAAGGAACGAGATCACTTTTCAAAGAGCATCCATACATATACTTTCTTGTGAAATAGATGATCAAGGAGTGATGTCAGGCGTACTTGTAAATCAACGTTGGCTTGAATTATTTCATTATCCGGATGCTGTCATGAAAGGCCTTGTTGTAGCCATCTTTGAATTAGGGGCATTGGTAACTTCAGTGATAGCTGGTTGGGCTATTGACCACTTTGGTCGCGTTGGGGCCATTCGTATTGGTGCATTCATTTTCATCATTGGCGGTACCTTGCAAACAGCTGCCAACCACATTGCTTTATTGCTGGTGGGTCGTTTAGTTGCTGGCTTTGGCGTTGGCTTTTTTAGCACTGTCATACCCTTCTATTCTGCAGAGCTTGGACGTGCCGAAAATGTAGGTGCATATGGTAAAGGCTATTACCTCAATTCTCAATTACATTAACACGATGTTATCAAGCGTGGTGTCGTAGCTGTGTTTAGTATGAGCATGATCATCATTGGACTTGCAGCATCAGGTAGTCCTAGCAACATCATCAGCATATCCCCTAC